CACAAAAGTTCAACGAATAATCGAAGATTTAGACGAGAAAGAAATCGAACTGTTGACTTCGTTCCTTATTACAAAGCATAAAACGAAACCACGAATAATTTTTCATAACGAATAAGAATTCATTTACGATTTGAAAACTTAAAAAAGTGTTGAGAAAATGAGAAGATTCTTTTCCTCAACTGGAAATTAATGAAAACTAAACGATCTGAAATTGGTTGTGTGCCGTGTTTTCGTTTCTACAATGGCGCCGTTAATGGATTGTTTTTTTATTTGAATGTTTTGAACTTTTCGTTAATTTTGTATTAAATATTCTCTTCCTGAGAATACATATTTTTGTTTCTCATATTCCATGAGACGTTATGCAGATTCCATGTGTTCTTCTCTTTCATTTTGTTTACTTAATTTATTTATTTTACTGTATTGAATAAATAAATGAATATTATTTCAAAAAATTATTTTATTTGCGTGTGTTATTTTTGCATTTATATTTTTTGCCACTATTTAATTTACAAATTATAGAAAGTCAGACAGACTTTGCAAGTGATAGTCCACACTTTAAAAGGTGTTGGATAACATTTTCTAAATAACAGACCAATTGTGAATGTATTAAGTTCCCATTTCCAAAATTGTTTTTCAAAAAACAAAGCATACTTTTTGAGAATAAGACACATATTTCGTCATAAGAAGCGAGTTTAACTAACGTCTATTGTTGAATGTTAATGGCGCATGCTGCAAAGACCAGATGGTTGTGGAAATATTTCAACAGACTTGAAAATTTTTCAAACGCTGTACTTTTCTGTAACTGTTTGAACTTACTTAAAAAAATAAATTCAGTTATAGATTAGCGCAGTTCTTCACCAAGTGACAGGTAAGCATATGCAGAAAGTAATCCTGTTTGCTTTTCTGTTTGGAATAGCCGCTTGCGAAATAAAAAACGAATTCAATTATTATATTTGACAATAGTGCACGCTTTATTCAACAATGGAAACTTTGTTTTGTACTGCGACATATAGTAAACAATTTCGGGAATCAATTACCTTCTTCGTTTTTGATAGTGCATCTGCTTTTATAGATATGCGAGGTTTGCCGATTGGGGAGAAAGTGTCGCGACAGTCGAGCGGTCAGTACTGTCGTGTGGGAGTGAAAAAACTTACTGAGACAGGTTCTCCATCGTATACCGTTTAATAAATATGAAAATTTTTCTTACAACAAATCCTTAAAACGGCGTAACACCTATCCAAAGTCGAGCAACAAGTTCGTAACACTAAAAGTTCAACTGTTCTGACGATAGTTTTTCTTCCGACGATGGAGGCGTGAAGACGTCGACTCCGGGCTGCACAATACTATTTGAACCGAGGTCTTCTATCTACAAGGTTGCCTTTAACGATCTTGATGGCACGGGAAGGTGAAGACAAGTCCTCCGAATATCTGACAAGTTCTCGTGTTAGAATGTCTGGATGACAAGAATCCTGGAGAGGAGCACTGCGAACCAAAGGCCAAGAACTACGAACCAAGAACGTCACATCCTTTTCCTGAGCGGTTTTTAAAGTTTTTTCTCTGTCCCAGATCGAACATTCCGATAGGTCGATGCCGATTTACCCCCGCTTTCTAATTGGTCCCCCTCCTCGTTACGAATTGTAACGAGATCGGTGCCCAGATCGTGGGGTGAGTCAACTCCGACTGACAATTTGATTCCTATCGAAGATCTAAGTACGTACTCAAATTCATCTATTGTTTTAACCTGAGTAGTTCGACTTTCTTAGAAATTTTTACAGATATGTCCTTATATGGACATAAAATATTAATTTTCCGTTCAACTGTTTCCTTTTACAATATTATAAGAATAATAATTATAATTATAAAAATTTTTTTCCATACGAAATTAAAACATTTGCTGTGCACGAATTTCGACCTACTTCCGGAGCTTCACAGATAGTTAGAATATGCGAAAGAGTACCAAGTACACTAAGCCATATGATCATCCTTTGCATCTGTCTGTGCATCCGGCGCAGGTTAATAAGTGATTAGTAACGCGCCAAGGTGTATTCTGTAAGAAATTACATCCAGAGTGGGTCCCAGTTCCCTTCTCTGGGGCGCGATGTTACGCGAAGGGAAATGCCTTCCGGGAGGTCTTGTAAGGGAAACTGATCCCTATTCAGGTGTTACAAACGTGGAGAAAACCCAGAAAACTCCACGTGGCCAGTACGTCCGATCGCGGCGCGAACTCGCGACCGAACTCCCAGTGTTTAGCGACAGAACTGCTCGGCCACGCGTCGACATCCTATACATAATAATTACGAAACTGTAAGAAACATTTTGAAAAATTATGTTTATTTCACNCAAATATGATATCAATGTGTCATCCGAAAATGGATTTTCCACGACAAAAATACCGACAACAGCGAGGACATTAGAGACACAAACAGATTGGTTGAGACTCGTATTGCAAACGATGAGAGGTAAAAAATTCCAAGAAATACAAGATCTCATCGAGAATGAAACCACGGACAAGTTTGTATCAACTGCACCCAACGTTGGAATAGATACCAATAGGACTACGTCATCAAACCCAACTAATATGATTCTATATTACTTTCTAATCACCTCTACTTTAATTGTTTGTGCAATATTCATCCAACTGTGTAGAATAAATTCTCGCCAGAAACCTGATTTGTCTGCACGTTCAATCAGAAAATCGATTGCATAGGAATACAAACCGATGAGAAAATTTCATCAGTCAGAGAAAACGAGTTTGTCTCATTTCAATTACAGAATGGCACACATTAGTCATTCATAAAAGTTTAACGAATAATCGAAGATTTAGACGAGGAATAAATCGAACTGTTGACTTCGTTCCTTATTACAGAGCATAAAACGAAACCACGAATAATTTTTCATAACCAATAAGAATTCATTTACGATTTGAAAACTTAAAAAAGTGTTGAGAAAATGAGAAGATTCTTTTCCTCAACTGGAAATTAATGAAAACTAAACGATCTGCAATTGGTTGTGTGCCTTGTTTTCTTTTCTACAATGGCACCGTTAATGGATTGTTTCTTTATTTGAAAGTTTTTAACTTTGAGTTAATTTTATATTAAATATTCTCTTCCCGAGAAGACATGTTATGGTCACTCATATTCCAAGTGACGTTATGTCGATTTCAATCGATCTTTTCTTTCATTTTGTTTACTAAACAAATTATTTTACTGTATTGAATAAATAAATAAACATGATTTCAAAAAATTATTTTATTTTGTGTGTTATTTTTTATTTGCATTCCTTGCCACTATTTTGTGAGAGCCGAACTTGGTGAAATGATTTGTTTATTTATTTTGTTGAAAAAAAGTAATTTTTAAGGTTTAGGGAGATAAACAACAAACCGACATTTTAAAGAATAATAAAATTGTTTTCCTACGGACTTACTTCCTGGTTGAAGATGATACATGGAATGTGTCACTCGGAATCTACGAAAAGAAGAAAGAAAACACTATTGGTCAGTGGTGAAAAATAATCCTAATAAGGCAGTGGAAAAACCCAATGATGGCCCCCTTTATAAAAAGGAAGGGTCGATGCGTCAAAGACTGTCTCCAGAGTTGAGTGAACTGTAGGATTATGTGTGTGGATTAATAGCAGCTGCCATTGGATGTCCTAATCGCCGCCGTGTGGGAAGACCACCGCTTAAAGGAACATCGTTGTCGTTCTAAAGAACTTTGTGCCATCTCGAGACTAAATTTCCAACTATTCTACAACTTATATCAAGGTATTTATCCTTGCATGAAATAAATGTAAACTCTCTCTCTCTCATTAGTACTTGTTATCGGGAGAATAATAGCTACGTTAATTGTAATCCAACATGAATTGTATATAGCTAAAGTAGAATAATAAACGGGTATCATGTATACACAGAAAATCTGTAGAGTGTAATTCCTATGATTCTGTCCTTCCGCCTCCACTCCGGAACCAAAAGTCCACACACGCGACCGTTCGCGTAACGAAAAATTAACGGCCAATTTGGTTTCTGTGTCTGTCCACAAGACACAGTGGTGTCATCCTGACAGGGCGCTAAAGAGGTGCCGAAACTGCGATCACAATTTAATTTACAAATTATAGAAAGTTAGACAGACTTTGCAAGTAATAGTCCACACTTTATAAGATGTTGGATAACATTTTCTAAGTAACAGACCAATTGTCAATATATTAAGTTCCCATTTCCAAAAGTGTTTTTCAAAAAACAAAGCATACTTTTTGAGAATAAGACACATATTTCGTCATAAGAAGAGAGTTCAGCTAACGTCTATTGCTGAAAGTTAATAGCGTTTACTGTAAACAGATGTTAGTTGTGGAAATAATTCGACTTGAAAATTTTTCAAACGCTGTACTTTTCTGTAACTCTTTGAAGTTGTTTCAAATAATAAAAGTGCTTCTAAACTAGCGTAGTATTTTACGAAGTGGAGGTAAGCATATGCAGAAAGTTATCCTGTTTGTTTTTCTGCGTGAAATAGTCGCTTGCGAAATAAAAAACGAATTCAATTCTTATATTTGACAATAGTGCACGCTTTCTGCAATGATGGAAACTTTGTTTTCTACTGCGACATATAGTAAACAATTTCGGGAATCAATTACCTTCTTTTCTGATAGTGCATCTGCTTTTATAAATAGTTTGCGAAAGAGTGCCAAGTACACTAAGCCATATCATCATCCTCTGCATCTGGCGCAGGTTAATAAGTGGTTAGTAACGCGCCAAGGTGTATTCTGGGGGAAATTACATCTAGAGTGGTTCCCAGTTGCCTTCTCTGGGGCGCGATGTTACGCGAAGGGAAATGCCTTCCGGGAGGTCTTGTAAGGGAAATTGATCCCGATTCAGGTGTTACAAACGCGGAGAAAACCCGGAAAAACCCACGTGGCAAGTACGTCCGATCGCGGCGCGAACCCGCGACCGAATTCCCAGTGTTTAGCGACAGAACCACTCGGCCACTGGTGGGCGTCCTCTACGTAATAATTACGAACATTTTGAAAAATTATGTTTATTTCGCAACAAATTATGACATGTTTATTCACATTCGTACAATCTTTTAATTCTGTAAACATCGCTAGGAGATAAACCAATCTTATCATCTGGTGGCCCCAACTTAACTCCTGATTTAGCTTCCATAGCCACAGAGTTACCATCCTTAGAAGCATCATAATTCTCATAAATCATGATGGATTCGGGATCGAAATCATTATAAATAGTAATTAAATTCGGATCAATAATTTCAAATTGATCTAAATAATCTAACAATATTAAAATTTGTATTACTTTATAGAAACTAAACGAAAATATGTGATAATTATAACTTACCTTCATCTATGTTGTCCCAATGAATAAAGAGATAATTGTCCCTATCAGGTCGACTATGTTCGTGATGGAATCCAAGCGCGTGACAAATTTCATGCAGAATAATAACTATGGATTCACATCCTTCTCCGAGAGATAGATGTTGTTCACCTTTAACTCGACCAACATGTGAATTACAACTAAATTAAGTGTAAGAATATTATAAAATAGACAAGACATATTTTAATTAGTAGAGAAAAATTTACCCGTCTCCCTTAATGAATAAGATATAATCTGGTTCATATTGTCTTTGTTTGCAAGTGATGCAACCTCCTGTTGCATTATTTATGTGATTCATTGCTTTTGTTATCAAATGCGTTATATTTTCTATTATAAAAAGTTTTAATTGAATTAATAAAATAATTTTACTCATATTAACTTCGTAAAAGTCACACAACCTAAATCTGGATCTATAGAATAATACACTATCCCGCCTTTCCAGCGTAGTGAAAGATCCCTTACGGCATTTCTTTCCTAAATTTTAATTATAATTGCTTATTTTTATTAAAGTTAAATTAAATTTTAATTGTTAAGTATTTAAACAAGTAAAGTTACGTTATTGTCTTCGATTCCTACAATGTCTCCTTCGAAAAGGTTAGGATTTTGTAAAGCTTTGGAAGGAAAGTCGACTATAAACAGTAAAATATTACATTTTTAATACAAATTTTAAATCAGTAAAAAGAAATAAAATGTTACCGTGTCTGGCAAAAGTCACCGCGAGCAAGGCAAATAAGAGTAACATTTGTATTCGAGTTATCAATAACGCACCACACTTGAGTCTTCATAAGTGAATTGAATGTGCCTATTTATGCAGTTGCTTTCTATAATCTAATCGGAAGTCATTATAAGTAATTACTTCAAAAATAATTTAATAATTGTTTAAGATGTCCACTTTATCTGATAGACATATCAAAATGTTTTATAATTCCACAAATAAGCATATGCTATCAATATTATAGAACAATAAATATTAAACTATTGATATTTATTTCGTGTGTATAGAACCACATGCGGCTAACTCTAGACTATGCAATTTGTATCTGTTACATTGAACACGGTTCTACTTGGGTCCACTAAGAGATATGTAAAATTTCAAACGATTTGTGTACCTGTACTTTGCATCATACAAAATAGCAAATTACTCGTGTTTTGATCAAATTGTCAAATTCAGTTTTCTGCAAATTACGATTTATTACTTAGGAGCTTATTTTTATATACCAAGGAATTATTTTTTAATTTTGTAATTCAATTTACTGTGTAAACTATTGATTTCATAAAGAAGTCATTCGTTGAACAACCTAAACAGTTTCCTGAAGACTGTTCCTTACTCAATGACACGAAGAATGAATTGATGAGCTACAGCAACGCAGCATGCAGGCGTTCTGTCAAGCGAGTTCTTTCCAGCTGGCCAGCTAGTTGGGGTTTCGTGCCGAACCCCAATCTGCAGGCCATCTGGAGTTTTCTGTGTATTCTTCACGTGTATAATTCCTAAATAGGGGCCAGTTTTTAGCACAGTTTTTTTCGGGGGTATTCTTCCCTGGTAAATTGCCCGTATGTTGAGTTACCATATCTTATCAGATCAAACCAAACTATATTTATCTGATATAATATTGACGTCTGGGATATTGATATATTTTTAAAACAGCTCAAACAAAATATTATCTAAATAGATAATCTAAAGAAGAAAATATAATCTAAATACTTAGATTATACGGCGAAAAACATGGACGTCAACAATTCCCATTTCATGTCATTAACTTGCCATCATTCTGTCGANTCTTCTTTAATGAATAAGATATAATCTGGTTCATATTGTCTTTGTTTGAAAGTGATGCATCCTCCTGTTGCATTATTTATGTGATTCATTGCTTCTGTGATTAAATCAGTTATATTTTCTATTATAAAAATATTAAATAAAATTAATAAAATTATTTATTGATGTTAAGTATAGAATATGTTTAAGTAAAATAACCTAAAGATGGGTGGATAGTATAATACACTATTCCTCCTTTCCAGCGAAGTGAAAGATCCCTTACAGCATTTCTCACCTAAATTTAAATATAAATTAATTTAATTAACTAAGCGTTGAAAATAAACAAACTTACATTTCTGTTCCGAATTCCGATAATGTCTCCTTGGAAAAGATGAGGATTTTGTAAAGTCTTGGATGGAAGGTCGACTAGAAAATTGTAAAAATATCGCAATGTTTTGAATGTAAAATTTTAAACATAAATGTTAAATTATAAAGAAGAAAAATGTTACCGTATCTGGCAAAAGACACCGTAAACAAAGCAAATAAGAGATACATTTCTAATGAAGTTATCAGTAATGCTGCACTCTCTTGAGTTTTCACTAAGTGAATTGAATGTCTCTTCATCTACACAATAGTCTTCTATAATCTATTCGAAAATCAATATAAATAATTACTATTACAGTAAGTTTAATAAATCTTTAAGACTTTATCCCATAGAGATATAAAATTTGTTATAATTTAATAAATAATCATAAATTATCAACATTATGTAAAAATAAATATTAAAGAATTGTAAATTATTTTCGTGTGTATTGAAGTACATTCGGCTAACTCTAGATTTCGCAGTTTTTCATCTGTTATATTGAACACGTTGTATTATGTCCATACGGATATTAAAAATTCTAAACAGTCTGAAATTGAACATTTAATAACATAAAACAGCAAATTTCTGATAGCGATTCGAAGTTTCATCCTATTTTGAAAATTCCGTGTTTTGAAAATCGCAGTTTCTTACTTAGCCGCTTAGTGATTCTATAACAACGAATTATTTTTCAATTTATAATTCTATGCATGGTTTTAATAAAGAAATTACTCGTAGAAAAACGTAAGTCTGGTGGCCCCAACTTAACTCCTGATTTAGCTTCCATAGCCACAGAGTTACCATCCTTAGAAGCATCATAATTCTCATAAATCATGACGGATTTGTAATCGAAATCATTATAAATAGTAATTAAATTTGGATCAATAGTTTCAAATTGATCTAAATAATCTAACAATATCGAAATTTGTATTACTTTATAGAAACTGAACGACAATATGTAAAAATGATAACGTACCTTCATCTATGTTGTCCCAATAAATAATTAGATAATTGTCTCTATCAGGCCGCATATGTTCGTGATAGAAGCCAAGCGCGTGAACAATTTCATGCACAATAGTACCTACGTATTCACATCCTTCTCCGAGAGACAGATATTGTTCACCTTTAACTCGACCAATATATGAATTACAACTGAATTAAGTGTAAGAATATCATAGATTTGATAACACATATTTTAATTAGTAAAAAAAAAATTTACCCTTCTTCTTTAATGAATAAGATATAATCTGGTTCATATTGTCTTTGTTTGAAAGTGATGCATCCTCCTGTTGCATTATTTATGTGATTCATTGCTTCTGTTATCAAATCAGTTATATTTTCTATTATAAAAAAGATTTAATTGAATTAATAAAATAATTTTACTCATATTAACTTCGTAAAAGTCACACAACCTAAATCTGGATCTATAGAATAATACACTATCCCGCCTTTCCAGCGTAGTGAAAGATCCCTTACGGCATTTCTTTCCTAAATTTTAATTATAATTGCTTATTTTTATTAAAGTTAAATTAAATTTTAATTGTTAAGTATTTAAACAAGTAAAGTTACGTTATTGTCTTCGATTCCTACAATGTCTCCTTCGAAAAGGTTAGGATTTTGTAAAGCTTTGGAAGGAAAGTCGACTATAAACAGTAAAATATTACATTTTTAATACAAATTTTAAATCAGTAAAAAGAAATAAAATGTTACCGTGTCTGGCAAAAGTCACCGCGAGCAAGGCAAATAAGAGTAACATTTGTATTCGAGTTATCAATAACGCACCACACTTGAGTCTTCATAAGTGAATTGAATGTGCCTATTTATGCAGTTGCTTTCTATAATCTAATCGGAAGTCATTATAAGTAATTACTTCAAAAATAATTTAATAATTGTTTAAGATGTCCACTTTATCTGATAGACATATCAAAATGTTTTATAATTCCACAAATAAGCATATGCTATCAATATTATAGAACAATAAATATTAAACTATTGATATTTATTTCGTGTGTATAGAACCACATGCGGCTAACTCTAGACTATGCAATTTGTATCTGTTACATTGAACACGGTTCTACTTGGGTCCACTAAGAGATATGTAAAATTTCAAACGATTTGTGTACCTGTACTTTGCATCATACAAAATAGCAAATTACTCGTGTTTTGATCAAATTGTCAAATTCAGTTTTCTGCAAATTACGATTTATTACTTAGGAGCTTATTTTTATATACCAAGGAATTATTTTTTAATTTTGTAATTCAATTTACTGTGTAAACTATTGATTTCATAAAGAAGTCATTCGTTGAACAACCTAAACAGTTTCCTGAAGACTGTTCCTTACTCAATGACACGAAGAATGAATTGATGAGCTACAGCAACGCAGCATGCAGGCGTTCTGTCAAGCGAGTTCTTTCCAGCTGGCCAGCTAGTTGGGGTTTCGTGCCGAACCCCAATCTGCAGGCCATCTGGAGTTTTCTGTGTATTCTTCACGTGTATAATTCCTAAATAGGGGCCAGTTTTTAGCACAGTTTTTTTCGGGGGTATTCTTCCCTGGTAAATTGCCCGTATGTTGAGTTACCATATCTTATCAGATCAAACCAAACTATATTTATCTGATATAATATTGACGTCTGGGATATTGATATATTTTTAAAACAGCTCAAACAAAATATTATCTAAATAGATAATCTAAAGAAGAAAATATAATCTAAATACTTAGATTATACAGCGAAAAACATGGACGTCAACAATTCCCATTTCATATGTCATTCACTTGCCATCATTCTGTCGAACATATCAAAGTATATGTTCCGTGTATCATAAGACTTGTGTTCCTCCTGAAGGCTTTGACTTCCTCCTGTTCAGCCCAAATTTTATGTGAATATCATCTTACGTATAGAATCCGTCGAACTATTGTTTCGTTTACCGTAGCTTTTGCAGCACCGGACACAAGTATGTTCACATGTCGAATTTCAATTTTAGTTTCTTAATTATTTATAAAATAATTTTCTGAAGAAATGCCACCTCACGCATAAGCTTACTTTGCTACTACGTGCAATTGGCCTTGCTTATATTATAGTTGCTGTTGAAAACTCATATAGTTTGCGCAAATGGATAGTTTATTATTTAACAACCTATAGTTAAGATATGCATTATTAATTTATATGAAGACAATGAAAAAGAGAAAAAAACAACGCCAGTCGTTTATACGAAATGCTTAGACTTACAATAGGTTAAAAACAAAACAATAATTAATTAATAGTACCGATTTTATCGTACAAAGATGTTAGACCACAGATTGACAGACATGATTTTAGGTGTGTTTGGTGGTGCGAGAGATGAAGATGAAAGTTACTATTGTATGTGCACTTGTCGTTAGTATTGTCCAAATAAGAACTGAGCAATATTTACGATGGTAATGATTCCGTAGTGAGTTTGACATGGCCAGTTCAGTTCATTTCTAAGTTGTTTGTGGTAGTTATACACTGCCACAAACAACACAGGTCGAGTTTATAAAAAGTTTTGCTTTCGTCTTTCTTTAATGCTTACTTTTTTCTCCTCCGTTTCTGATGGCTGATGTACAGCTTAGATTTCTGGTGCACTATATCCCCTGCATCCTTGTGGCTGGGTGTACTTAGTGTGCTCTTACAGGAGATTGTTAAAATGGTTTTTAAAGTTGACCTGTAAAGAGAGTTCAGAGCATCTAACTAGTGATCGTCGAACTCTAAAAGATCTTATCAATAGTACGCATCGTGTACACTGCATCCAAAAACTTTTTTCTCATGTTCTTCTCGTCATTCATCGGTGTGACACACACTAACGTACTTACGTGCTCGCACAAAAAATCCAAATTAGTTAGATCAGGTTATCTCGGTGGCCCTGTTTGTGGGAAAGATATTTTCCAAGAACTCACGAACAAATGTGCTGGGCACTGATCATGTTGAAAGCACCCACGTTGTCTCATTTGCCAAGGAATTGTCCTCCAGTAAAAGCAGAGGATTTCCTGGAGAAACGGAAGAATGAAAATATATACATGTAATTTAAAAAAAGTAAATGATAGTTATTACTTTATCTAATACTAGTCACACAATGTTTTAATTAATTTTATAAGAATTGGCAGCATACTTATCAGTTAATTTTCGTACGCAACATTTAATTTTCGGAGACGAAATAGAATATAATTTAGAAGAAATCGTAACTAGAAAAATTCTTAATATTTACTGTTTAGCATAATGAACAGAGGGACGAGATACTAAAAGTGCTCTTTGAAGCTTAAACTAGTATTCATTCACATTACTCGTTTTTCTCACCAAAATATTTCTAGTGACTTGACCACCAGTGACCGTGTTTAGTTCTATTTATTTATAATACATCAAAATGGAAATGGGTGAACCCTGTTTCCAACGCTTATAAAAATTAAATATAAAAATTTAATTCACCTCTCTGCCATTCTGAATAGAGAAATTCTTACTGTAACTAGGTCATCAGGAAAACAAAAATTTCATATATCAATCAATTCAGATAATCAGATTCAAAATTTACTGTTGTTCCCTTTTTCTATGGAACAGAGAACCCATCATATGCATGCAACTTATTTCATGCATATGATGGGTTTCTCTATTCTATAGAATTTCTGGTATTTTTTCATTAGTGGACACTAAAAGTGCCATTAAAATAACATTACTTTAGGTCTGAATCTGACGTTCCGGTATAGTTAATCGAAACCTCCTGCCTCTCTTCTTTACACATCTGATCTCGTTGTTCATCTATCTAATCGAGATATCTGTCGTTCTCAAGATTAAGGAAAGACAGACGGACGGACGGACGGCCAACAGTGGGAATTTACAATATGCAAATCTACAATTTTTTCAAATTACAGTCCAATACGTAATAAAAGCATTTTTACCCACTTTGTATACCCGTAAAAACTACGTAACAACTTACGTAAAAAAAAAAAAAAATTTTCTTCATTATGGCAAGTAATTACTTCAAAAATAATTTAATAATTGTTTAAGATGTCCACTTTATCTGATAGACATATCAAAATGTTTTATAATTCCACAAATAAGCATATGCTATCAATATTATAGAACAATAAATATTAAACTATTGATATTTATTTCGTGTGTATAGAACCACATGCGGCTAACTCTAGACTATGCAATTTGTATCTGTTACATTGAACACGGTTCTACTTGGGTCCACTAAGAGATATGTAAAATTTCAAACGATTTGTGTACCTGTACTTTGCATCATACAAAATAGCAAATTACTCGTGTTTTGATCAAATTGTCAAATTCAGTTTTCTGCAAATTACGATTTATTACTTAGGAGCTTATTTTTATATACCAAGGAATTATTTTTTAATTTTGTAATTCAATTTACTGTGTAAACTATTGATTTCACAAAGAAGTCATTTGTTGAACAACCTAAACAGTTTCCTGAAGACTGTTCCTTACTCAATGACACGAAGAATGAATTGATGAGCTACAGCAACGCAGCATGCAGGCGTTCTGTCAAGCGAGTTCTTTCCAGCTAGCCAGCTAGTTGGGGTTTCGTGCCGAACCCCAATCTGCAGGCCATCTGGAGTTTTCTGTGTATTCTTCACGTGTATAATTCCTAAATAGGGGCCAGTTTTTAGCACAGTTTTTTTCGGGGGTATTCTTCCCTGGTAAATTGCCCGTATGTTGAGTTACCATATCTTATCAGATCAAACCAAACTATATTTATCTGATATAATATTGACGTCTGGGATATTGATATATTTTTAAAACAGCTCAAACAAAATATTATCTAAATAGATAATCTAAAGAAGAAAATATAATCTAAATACTTAGATTATACGGCGAAGAACATGATGACAATTTCCATTTCATCTGTTATTTACTTTCTATCATTCTGTCGATTGAGTAATCAATCATCTAGAAAAATATAAAATTAAATTTGTCTTTAGTCATGACTAATATATGCAATCAGCAGGCAATCAACCTTCAGTCGAAAAGACTCGTAAACAACCTAAAATTCCTTTAAAAGTAATAGAATTTTCCCCAAAACGTTAAGCAAATTCTACCTAAATAAATTTGCTCCAGAAGAAATGCATATAAAAATATGTCTTTTGACAATCCAGAAAAATTAATTTTCACTTTAGGGTGCAGGCGGTGTGGACACATTTGAGCGAAAGAATCATGTGGTGGAGCGACCTACTCTAGATCTCGCAAACAATTATGATTCGTGTGACCTTTGGATGCTCCTATTCGTCACCGAATCTCCACTGACCAATATGAGCAGACTTTACATTCTCCCTAAACTATTTCTCTTTCAAAACTTCCTCATCCTACTGATTTCTCCCTAAATTCAGGGGATATTCCTAAGTCGGCAACATCTATATAATCGAGACGGGTTGATAATAATAATAATAATAATAATAATAAGCGCAGAGCCCAAACGGTTAGGAGTTGAAAGTTGAAATTTGGTACACAGTTAGGGTACGTCAGGAGAATGCACACTAAGAAGGGATTTTTCGAAATTCCTTCCCACGGGGGAGAGGGACAGGATTAAGTCTTAACACTTCCATCAACAATGGAAGTGTTAAGTAACAATGGAAGTGTCAACAATGGACGTGTCAACGATGGAAGTGTTACGTAACAATGGAATTGTTAAGAGAAAGCGACGTGCAAGGTGCAGATGCAGTTTTTTTCGTTTTTTTGCGGGAAATCAAACATTTTTTAAACCCATCTAAAAGTTCTCTAATTAGTCTGGGAACAGGGGAACCTAATTCTTGCATTTTGTGAAAACGGGTAAGGTTGACTATAACGTAAAAATCTTAATCATCGATCTCGTTACTTTTGCCCGAGAAACGCCGGGCCTACCTGCTAGTTGGAAATAATTGACTAAACAACACTGCTACTGTCTTAAGAACTCTTCGCAGCCATTGGATAAATGTGAGGCTGCAGACAGGGTCAGAACTCTCACTAAACGTAATTTAGTATTATATTGTAAAACAGAACAATTTATGATATAAATATGTCGAGTAGATACGAAAAACATGTATATCTCGAGAGATCAAAGTTCGCATGACGGAGTGAGAAGAGAAACTTTGACTTTAGTGCTCATATAGATAGTTAATAATGAAGAAATGTGATAAAATGGAATCCCTCGTTTATTAAGAATATATCTTATAAAATATATTTTAAAAAATATAAATGAACAATAAACAGTGTACAGTCGACCCCCCTATAAGATCATTGATTTTTCCGTTTTATCTGAGTCACTTAGATTTTACAAATACGTGTGCCGGGCTGTGAACGGCTCACATATTTGTAAAATCTAAGTGACTCGTACAACATGTAATTCAGATAAAACGGAAAAATCAATGATCTTATAGGGGGGTCGACTGTAATAAAACAATAAAATCGCTCTGTGTAGAATAACAGATCAACATAAAATGCAGTTTAAAATGTTACCTACCCACATGTATTTAAAAATAAAACAGTTTTTGTATATTCATGTACTAAAAAGTATTTATTGTATTCAATTTATCTATCTACATAATACATAGTGTGTCTAATACAAAGTAAGAATTATTTAAGGCAGAATTTCACAAAAAGACATGAGAAACTGTACACTGTATCTCTTCCTGGAAGAGTCGAACACTCAGGCAAGTGTAACTCGTTTTTCCATTCGTTTATTTAATTCAAAGGTTTTAAATACACCTCCATGGAAAATACGCCCTAGGAATGAATGTTGACAAATTTGAAGTTACATTTTGGTTATAAACAACAGTGGCCGAGTAGATAATACGCGTGGTCAGCCCGTTGGCTATGTATGAACCTACGACAAGTGGTAGTTGGTCATGTGTTTGCACCTTCCCAACAAGCTAGCCAAGTGGAGTTTTCTGAGTTTCAAGGAATCTGTATTTGTTAATAGAATTACAGTACTTTAATTAATATTTGGGAACATCTGGTAAAACGGAGAAAGAAAGATAAAAATTTATCAATCTCTGCATCTTTTATGTCTTCCTTTGATGCAGTGGATGCTTAGTTCCTGTTGAATGGAAATTAACCAAAAGTATGGCCGCTTCGGGAGTAAACACGATTGGTCGTCAATTTCCCTATAAAAGGGGACGACACCTTCACTAAAGTCTGTTTTTGTCATCCTAACAGCCAAGACATAGTTGGTCACTGATCCAGATATATAAGAAGAAAAGACAGGTTATACGCTCGTTTATTGTAAGCTCTCTCAGTCAGCGATTGTATCCCACAGTTTAGCCAAAAGTTCCAGTGATATGTTAACCTTTTAATTTTTAATTAAATTAGCTTTGTTTTACTTACGGTTGTCTATGTATATATTGCATACGCTTAAATTTATATCTTAATAAATAGGTTAATTTATGTGTAAAAGATTTGTTTTCCTTCTGTACTCGCGAACCGACACGACCTCTCCACGACCCTCCGTATCCGAAATTATTAGCCGAATCAGCCATCCAGATTCGGGATAAAGATAGAAAAACTCGAGTAAATAATAGCCAATTACCCAAAAAAGATTTTCTGAAAGGCATTCTCCTAGGCAGATTGCCCAAGTGTTTCGTTGCAGTAACTTAATAAACGAGTATATTATATTATTACTCAATACTGACAATATAAACCTCTCGATCAAATTACAGATAAATTATTGTTGTAAACGTTAGCAACAAAACTATATTGCCGAGATTTACCTTATTGAAATTGAAGTATTGTGAAAATACCAAGCGTGAACGTTTCAAATCGTAACTATTCACCGATACAAATTATGGAAATTTTTCGTCATTTTATGTAAAATGACAGTAAATGATTTGTTTCTTCTAATTTTTAATACAGTTTTCCACATAATGAACCGAATTCGAGTTCAACCGCATTCTTTCCAAAACAGGTTCAATTGTTGTCTATTTTAATTCGAAAATATCCACTAAAAACACACAAAAAATCGAACGAATAGTTTGAGCATTTACATTTATTTAATGAAAAATTATGTTATAATTTGATATATTTATTGTTTATTGACATTCGTACAACCTTTTGATTCTGTAAACATCGCTGGGAGATAAACCACTCTTCTGAAACGGTGATAGCAGCTGTACTCCTGATTTAGCTTCCATAGTCATCGACTTACTATCCTTAGAAGCCGCATAATTTCCATAAATCATGATAGATTCGGGATCAAAATCATTATAAATAGTAATTAAATTCCGATCAAGAAGTTTAAATTGATCTACATACTCTAACAATATAGAAATTTGTATTATTTTTAACAAACTAAACGAAAATAACGATTTAAATCATTACTTACTATCTTCTATATTCTTCCAGTAAATAATGAGATGATCGTCTCTATCAGATCGATTCTGTTCGTGGTAGAAGCCGAGTGCGTGAACAATTTCATGCACAATGGTACCTACGTATTTACATTTTTCTCCGAGAGATAGGTGTTGTTCACCTTTAACTCGACCAACATAAGAGGAACATCTGAATTAAGTTAAGAATATTATAAAATAGATAAAGTGTTGTATTAAATACAAGAGCAAAATTTACCCGTTTCCGTTAATGAATACAATATAATCTGGTTCATATTGTCTTTCTTTGAAAGTGATGCATCCTCCTGTTGCATTATTAATGTGGTTCATTGCTTTTGTGATTAAATACTTCATATTTTCTATTATAAATAATGTTTAGTTAAATTAATAAAATGACTATTGATATTAAGTTCGAAATAGATTTAAGTGAAATTACCTGAAGATCTGTGGATTGTATAAGGCACTATCCCACTATTCCATCGACGTGAAGGTTTTATCGCATTTCTCATCTAAATTAAAATTGAAATTAATTTAATTACATCCATATCGTTGATAATAAACAAACTTACTTCATTATCTTCCATTCCCATAATGTCTCCTAGAAAAAGATCAGGGTTTTGTAAAGCTTCGGTTGGTAGATCGACTAGAAACAGTAAAAAGATCACGTTGTTAAGAATGTAAAACTTCGAATATGTGTTTTAAATCAGTAAAAAGAAAAAAATGTTACCATGTCTGGCAAAAGACACTGTAAACAATGCAAATAAGAGCAACATTTCTTGCGGTGTTATAATATTAATGCTCCTTACTTGATTCTTCGCAAAGTGAATTGAACGTGTCTATTTACGTGTCTAAACAAAAATCATTATAGATAATTACTATAAAAGTAATTTTAATAATTATTTAATATATCTCTTTTATTTGATATCAATATGAAATGTTTTATAATTCAATAAATAAGCATAACATATCGATATTATAGAAGAATAAATATTGATATTTATTTCGTGTGTATAGAAGTACACGCGCCTAAATGTAGATTTGGCAGTTTTTCACCTGTTACATTGAACACTTTCTTGACTTATAGAAGTTTACATATTACTCTATACAAAAATAGTTTATGGTTAATGTCAAGCATTATTCTTATGTAAAACAGTTTAAAATTAGCAATTATGCTTGAGACCATATCGAAGTGAAAGAAATAAAAAGCTTGGTTTAAACTATGCCTCATAAAGTGTTTGATGTTAGTCCAATAAAAAGAGGTCTAAATAACATTAAATTATATGAATTTCACCAAAATTCGTATACATATAACTTAATTATTATAGTATATATGATAATACATTTTAATGTTGTTTTGAGCTTATTATTATGTATTCGTATATAAAATTGTAAAAAAATATATTACAAACTTGAGTTAAGAAATTAAATCTTAATTGTTGTCCTTATAATTTTGTTAAACACTGTTGTATAAAGTTAACTATAATACAGATCCACCAATGGCAGAATGAATAAAATCACTAAATACTAGTAGTTTGTAGTAGGTTCTCACCTGGGTACATGATGTTTTCGGGGTTTACTTTACGTTTGTATCACCTAAATAAGGAATACTCTTTATATAAAAATCTTTCGCGAGGTACTTCTATGGAGATTCCCACCTTGGCAGATTGCCTTTGTGTCGCATTATCGTATACGTATAAAACAAAACTTACTTTTGTCTTTTTCCCCAGTTCTTTACGAATGAGTATACAGATTTAGCAATAGAAAAAAACCAATCATTTATCCGAAGAAGTAAGAGATATTGCTGAGATGTTTTCTAGTTAAATATAAATACACATTTAGCCGTTGCATACATCGATAATGAGTAATGGATAAATCAATTGTTACTCTGGATTATGACTAATCAATTATCTATCTAAATATCCAAGTCTGATAAACAAAATTTGTCTTTGATCATGATTAATTTAATTAATATATACAATGAGCAGAGTTCACAACTTTTTGTCGTAAAGACTCGTAAACAAACCTGAAATTCCTTTGAAACTAATAGAATTCCCTGTAAAAAGTTAAGCAAATTCTATCTAAATAGATTTGCTCCAGATGCATGGCATATAAAAAAATTATATGTCTGTTGACAATGCAGAGAAATAAATTTTCACCTTATGGTGCAGGCGGTGTGGACACAGTTGAGCAAAAGCATCATGTAGTGGGGCGACCTGCTCCAAATCTCAACACGACATTGTCGTGTGCGAACAATCATGAGTCATATGACTTTTGGATGCTTCTATTCCTCACCGAGACTCCATTATCCGATGTGAGCAGACTTTACATTTTTCCTAAACTATTTTCCTTCTAAAACTTCCTCAATTTTGTTATTTTTCCCTAAATTCAGGGGGAATCCCTGAATTGATATCATTGGAAATAATTGAGTAAAAATATCCAACACTGCTTCCAGGCAACTGTCTTAAGAGTTGTTCGCAGCCAATGGATACACGTGAGGCTACAGAGTCGGGTACCCTTACTAGACAGGATGGTATCTCCATATGATAAGTGGAAGGCATTACTCGGCGTCTCCACCAAACTGTCGCGGAAACAAACGGAAACCAGTCGTTAGGAACACAAAGGGGTATTTATTCACTCAGAGAACGTACAGCGCAACTACTGCAGCTTGCAGTACGAGAACAGTTACGGAGAAGCAGTACAGTTATTATACTACAGAAACATGGTAGAAATATGTAAATGCTAACAAATTACCATGTGTTCTCAGACAGGGAGAACGTATCCACAAAAAAAAGCAGCATCAACGAGGTTAGAACCTGAGAACGTCGATCAATAGGCAAAGACGGTAACTCCTTGGACCATGAACGAGCCGCAGCAATATAAATATGTCGATGAGATACGAAAACAATGTATATCTCGAGAGATCGGAGCTCACATGTTGGAATAAAAAGTCAAACTTTGACTTTGGTGCTCATATAGGTAGCAAAATAATGAAGAAAATGTGATAAAATGCAACCCCTTGTTTATCAAAAACATATTATGTAAAAATGATAGAAATACTAAAATGACAAAAATGTGAACAACACTTATTAAAATGCGAAAAATTGTCCCAAAGTTCGACTAAACATCTCTGATTGACAAGGAATAGCACGACTTTGGATTAATTACGATTTTGATCAACCTCGGTGAGGATATAGTGCATCCCCAACGACTGCTATGTGCCAAGTAGTTAGGGGCAACACTAAAAATTAAAAGCGAAACTTAAACTTGAAAATTTCACATTCACTTAGAACCTTTAGAGTATCTATTAATTACAGGATAAGTAGTGGCTCACTGGGGTCTTGCCAGTTTCATAATCATGGTTAACATTAACGTATTTTTTTGCACATAAAATTAATTTTCAAATGAGCATGTATTCTTCGATATATGGCGAAAGTGTTATAATTTTTTTAATACTAACCACTTTTCTATTTTTCTCGAAAAATCGACCGTAGGCTAGACAGTATAACTTAATATGTTATACTTAATATAAAAAGTTTATCAATAAACAATAATAATGACAGTATATTGAGTTTAAAATTCTCTTTATAAGTGGAAAATCCCAATTGAGTTCTATTAATTACGTTCCGGATTTAATGAAGATTTTACTCCTTATTAAAGTTTACAATTTTTTAAAAATAAAACTCATCCCTATCCTTAAAATTAATTTTTTTACTATTTTATAGTAATTAAATTTATTAAAACTATAAAACTTTTTATATAACAAAATATCATAACAGCGTCACACACAATTTTATATATTATGCATAATAATATAAGAGTTATTTTTAAAATCAAATTTCAAAACAGCCGGGAAAGTTACGCAACTCGTTGCTGGTTTTTTAATTATTTCCATAAACTACTTTCTGATTAATTCAATTTCACACGAAATTTATTAATTTGTATTTTATTTTATATCTTAGCCGAATTCATATTAAAGGACACGAATATAGATTGAATAGTTACCATATATCTCTTATCACTTTAATAATTAATAATTAATAATCTTCCTTTGTTAATGATGTTAGAGCTGAAGAGCTTTCCAATATGCCCTGTGTTAAAACTTATGCTAATCATATCAAAACAATCAAGATTTACATAGCGATCATTAAAATAATTTATTTCTCTCAACTTTTAATTACATAAAGCAAGAAAATGTCGAGTAGACTATACCAGAACGACATCGTATATATAATAATTACGAAAACCTAGTAAACATTTCGAAGAATTATATTTATTTCATAACAAATTATGACACGACAATTTAATATATTTGTGATTTATTCACATTCGTACAACCTTTTAATTCTGTAAACATCACTTGGAGTTAAACCATTCTTTTCATACGGATCTAACAACTCTACTCCAGACTTAGCTTCCATAGTCATCGACTTCCCATCCTTAGAAAATGCGTAATTTCCATAAAGCATGATAGATTCGTAATCGAAATCGTTATAAATAGTAATTTTGTCTGGTGTAAGAAGTTCAAATTGCTCTTTCGCTCCTAACAATATAAAAATTTGTATTACTTTTACAAACTAAACGGCAATATCAGTTAATGATAACTTACTTTCGTCTATGTTCTTGCAATGTATAATGAGATAATTGTCTCTATCAGATCGATTCTGTTCGTGATAGAATCCGAGCGCGTGACAAATTTCATGCACAATAGTACCTACGTATTCACATCCCTTTCCGAGAAATATATATTGTTCAGATTTAACACGACCAACACGAGAGGCACATCTGAATTAAGTGTAAGAATATTATAAAATAAATAAAACATATTTTAATCGGTAGTGAAAAATTTACCCGTCTCCTTTAATAAATAAGATATAATCTGGTTCATATTGTCTTTGTTTGAAAGTGATGCATCCTCCTGTTGCATTATTTACGTGATTCATTGCTTCTGTGATTAAATCAGTTATATTTTCTATTATAAAAATATTAAATTAAATGAATAAAATTATTTATTGTTGTCAAGTTCGAAATATGTTTAAGTAACGTAACCTAAATATGGGTGGATAGTATAATACACTATTCCTCTTTCCCAGCGAAGCGAAAGATCCGTTATGGCATTTCTCACCTAAATTTAAATGTAAATTAATTTAATTAATTAAGCGTTGAAAAAAAAACAAACTTACATTTCTGTTTCGAATTCCAATAATGTCTCCTTGGAAAAGGTGAGGATTTTGTAAAGCCTTAGATGGAAGGTCAACTAGAAAATTGTAAAAATATCGCATTGTTTTGAATGTAAAATTTTAAACATAAATGTTAAATTATAAAGAAAAAAAATGTTACCGTATCTGGCAAAAGACACCGTAAACAAAGCAAATAAGAGATACATTTCTAATGAAGTTATCAGTAATGCTGCACACTTGAGTCTTCACTAAGTGAATTGAAAGTTTTTTGATTTACACAATAGTCTTCTATAATCTATTCGAAAATCAATATGAATAATTACTATGACAGTAAGTTCAATAAATCTTTAAGATTTCATCTTATAGAGATATGAAATTTGTTATAATTTAATAAATAATTATAAATTATCAACATTATATAAAAATAAATATTAAAGAATTGTAAATTATTTTCGTGCGTATTGAAGTATATGTGGCTAACTATAGATCTCGTAGTTTTTCACCTGTTATATTAAGCTCTATTAATATTTGTGACCATACAAATAGAAGAAAAGGTGGTATTATGGAACACTGCGGGTATTATGGAACCACCCCATTTTGAACTGATAATAAAGACGAACTGTAGCAAATTGTGACTGAACTAAACTAGGCAGACATCCATAGCAAGGGGAAAACGCGTTTTACTTCAGTTAAACGGTTGTCCGTATTTAATCAGCAAATTTGTTTTTTTTTTTTTTTTAAATTCGTAAGTTTTGAATGCTAAGTGAATTTAATTATTTTTAAAATATAAATCGTGAAGTTGTAGGTTCACTGGTGCATGTATTCCGTTCCAGAGACTTAAGGGTACATATTAATCTGTGTGATGTTTACATCTTTTAAATTTTGGTCTTGACAGACATAAGTTAATTCGAGATTGCGATGCGTGAAATATGGACCCCATTGGTGCTTTTACAGTAATATGGAACTCAACTCCTCCGAACTCTCTCTTTGCAAACAGACATTCGTCCGGAGCAATTTGTGATAAAGACACTAGGTAGAAAGTCAATTCTTCCTGAGAAAAATTGCTGTTGGAATATATATTGTTGATGGAAGTCATATTTTTCTATTATAAAAGCATTTTTGCGATAAAATCCATTGGAGTAAATAATTTGGTAATTATTTAACATTTTTTGTACTTTCCTATTTGTTTTTGGCTACATTAAAGCATTTCTTGAAAACATACAGTAAGGTTCCATATTACCACCCGATTTTTTCTAAGCCTACTTTCTGACTTTTTGTATAAAAACCTTCAAAAACCATATTTATAGTTACACTAGCGAAAAATACAATTAGGAACATTTAGTTTAATAGTTACCAGTACTTTTCGCACAAAAATGTGGGTG